CTTTCTTATTTATTTATATAAGAGGGTCTCACTCTGTCATCTATGCTAGAGTACAGCCTGGAACTCCTCGGTTTAAGCAATCCTCCTGCCTCAACTTCTTGAGTAGCTAGGACTATAGGTATATGCCACCATGGCCAGTTATTTTATTTCATTTCATTTCATTTTTTATTTTTTTGTAGAACTGGGTCTCACTGTGTTGCTCAGGTTGGTCTTGAACTCCTGGGCTCAAGTAATCCTCTTCAGCCTCCCAGAGTGCTGGGATTCTAGGCGTGAGCCACTGCACCCAGCCTACTTTGTTAGTAGTAACTCTTCCAATTTACTCGTTAAACTTAATAAAGACTGATCCAGGAAACCCTTAGTTCTCCACTCATCTTGCAACCCTCAGTTTTTCTTTTGAAAAAGAAGCCTATAATCATATTAAAGAAATTACAAATTTATAGCATATTTTATTCATGATGATTCATAGTTTCTCCATCAGATTGTGAGTTCATGTCTGAAGGGAAAGTATTGGGCTAACCATTGGGTGGCTTCTCCTGGATGTCTGTTTCATGGCCTTTTCTGACATTCTACCTTCTGTAATACATAGTTTCATTTTAGTCATACAGAAGTAGAGCTGAGGCCGGGCGCGGTGGCTCACGCCTGTAGTCCTGGCTCTCTGGGAGGCCGAGGCGGGCGGATTGTTTGAGCTCAGGAGTTGGAAGCCAGCCTGAGCAAGAGCGAGACCCCGTCTCTACTAAAAATAGAAAGAAATTAATTAGACAACTAAAAATACATAAAAATTAGCCGGGCATGGTGGCACATGCCTGTAGTCCCAGCTACTTGGGAGGCTGAGGCAGGAGGATTGCTTGAGCCCAGGAGTTTGAGGTTGCTGTGAGCTAGGATGATGCCACAGCACCCTAGCCCGGACAACACAGTGATACTCTGTCTCAAAAAAAAAAAAAAAAAAAAGTAGAGCTGACAGTAGCTTACCCATCCACCCATCCACAGTAACGAATTCTTTTGCTAAAGCAGCAGAAAAAGGTAACCATTCTTGTACTGCCAAGTACAACACACAAACACACACACATACACACACACACACCTTCTTCTGTTCTCTCTGCTTTGTCTGCCCCATCCCATCCTGCCCAAATAAACAGTCATTTTAGCAATCCCAGATATATTTCTGTGCAGATACTTCTGCACTTTATTTGAGTAAGGTAGTATTGCTTCGGCTTTTTGCTCTGTGTATGTGTGTGTACACATGCAGAAGGTGATTCTATAGAGCAGTGGATGATGTGTACTTTTTAGTGGCTCCCTTTTTGATTCAAGTTTTCAGGTTTCTAACCTTTGGGTAGGCTTGAGAAAAGAGATTGGTAAGAAAGCGTAAGGACTGCTTAGGTGGGTGGGACAGTGGATATTATTTTAGGTTAGTGCAATATCTCTTCTGAGGCACAGCAAAGTATAAGTTTTGAAGGCAGAATTCAATCTGGATCCAAAATTATTTACATCATCGTTTAATTTTGAAATTTGTGATTTTAGTCTTTATTGGCATTTTTTCCCATCTACTTCAAAGGACTGTCGGGAGTTTATAAATTAGTTTAATTCTGAATAAATGAGACAAGGCTATATATTGGTTAGATTCATGAACCACACCACAATATTTTTTCTTTAAAGCAATTCCTCTGACTGAAATACATATTGCTCCATCCATCCATCCATCCATCCATCCAATTTATTTGGAAATGAGGCTATGTATTTTCTTCTAGGTGATAGTATTAAGGAATTTGGGAGGGCCCTTCTAGATTATAGTTCTTCACTTACAAGGCTAGGAGACTATCTAGATTTGGAAGTGCTAGAGAGGTTATTTACCTCAGGCCATATAGCTAGTAAGTACAAAAACAGGTTTGAACTCAGATCTTTTCTACCACTGGGCAGCTAGATGTAGCCTAGTTAATATCTTCCCAAAACTATCTCTTGTCGTAGTAGTTCTATTCCATGAACCTACCGTCTGCTTTCCATTTTTATTTTTTTAAAGCTATTTCTTACTCCTGAAATCTCTTCCCAGCCTTCTTTCCCTCCCTCTCTTCTGCCTGGTAAGACCCATAGGCATGCATAGCTGGAGAAACCTGTAGAGCCTGCTCCCTTATGCTATAAAGGAAGAAATTGAGGCCCAGAGGAGCGAGGCGATCTGTTATCACACAGCTGATGAGTCTTATAGCCAGGAGTTAAACATGTTTGTCTTACTTTCCCGTTGATTCTTCCATGCACCCTTATTTAGTTTTTAAGCCATCTTAAATATTCATACATTTTGTGTGTAGGGGTGGTCTCTAGAGCAAGGAAACTTGAGTTCAAATTCTAATTCTGCCACTTAAGAGTTTTATAACCTTGGGCAAATTACTTAACATTTTGTGCCTCAGTTTCCTCATCTGACAAATGGCGATAGTAATAGTATTTGCTGCATAGAGTTGTTATGAGAAATAAACGAATTACTAAAGCACTGAGAACAGTGTCTGGCACAAAGCAAGTGTTAATATTAAGTGCTTGTTAAATAACAAAGAAAGAGAGGGACAATGCATCTGAGTTCTGAGGGTTGCAGAGAAGAACCCCTGGGGTTGGAGAGTCAGGAAGCAGAGTGCCTGTCAAAGGTCCTTCTTAACCACCACCTCCCTTATGAAATCTTCCTGCTTTTGCCTACCTCTTAAATGTGTACACCGCTTCACCTCTGCTGCACCTTGGACTGTACGTGTTTCTTATAGAACTCATCCCATTTTGACTCACATTGTGGTCACCTGCAGCTTGTTTGATTCTGCCTTGTGGACTGTAACCCTCTGGAAGGTTTATCCATCTTCATCTTTCTGATCACAGTGCCTGGACTTGGTGGATGTCCAGCTGTTAGTTGTTGAACAAAACTTAGTAAGATGTTATAGAACATTTTTAAACACTTTCTGCTGGAAAAATACCTAAACCCTACTACCTGGATCAGTTAGTTGGCTTATTTCTGCTAACATTGATGTCTGTGTAATTAGGCTGGCTGCCCTTCAGAGAAAGATGAAGTTTTTTTCCTCTACTCTTTCATATAGTAAATGTATCAATTCCACACATATATTGAATTGTAACACATGCACGTGTGCGCACACACAGAGACTAGGCAGAGGATGCTTCAGCTTCCAGCAGCCTTCTTAGAATTCAACTTGGAAGGCAGTGGGAATATCTTGTGGAATTATATGTTTGTGTGAAGACTGATCTTCATGGTTCATGAATCTGTTATTCCTGTTTAACAGTCATATTGGCCTATCAATCCAAAATGTTAGGCCCCTTTTAGGCAGGGACTTAGCTGTTACCCTTCTTCCTCTGTTTATAGGCAATGTGGTACAAAATCCTTGCATCGTGATAGACTAGGCAATGCCCTATGGCATCAGCCTGGACTTGGAATAATGGATTCTGCTTATTAATATTGTGTAACCTTAGGAAAGTTACTTGATTTCATTAAGCCTCAGTTTTCTCATCTATAAAGTGAGGACAATACATACCTTATAACATTGTTGTGAAGAGAAAATGACATGTCACATGCCTGGCGTGCAGTAGGTACTTGGTTGGTAAATACTTGTAACCACCATAGAATTACACAGCAATGAGAGATTTCTTATGTCACAAGAATGAAAGGCTTAAGGAGGCCCCTAGAAAAAAGTATGTGGAAAATCAACTTATTATTCTGATTACATGAAAAAATTGGTTTTTTCTTTCAGAGGTAGCAGAAAGCTTAGTTTGTTATGAGTCTGAAACCTCTGTGGGCCTGTGCCATGCATGATATGGAAACTCAGACTCAAGAACCATGTAGAGCGTTTGCCTCCATGTCACTCAGCTGCAGAAAGCAGTCTCTGCATGTGTTGGAGATTCGGGGAACCACGGGTGTACAGGTGCTGGTGGCTAATCAGGCACAGCTCAGAGTGGCATAGTGCAAACAACAAAAACATTAACTCAGTATTCTTTTCTTTTTTCTCATCAGAAAGCTATTTTATGGAAGAACGACAATGATGGTAGGAGCATAGCTCTGGCTAGTTGAGATCAGTGTTTGAAAGCTGAGGAAAAACAGTGTGTGTTTTGATGAGTATATTCTGCATATTGGAAATACTTAATTCATTGAGGCCAGAAATCCAGAAGAAAGTCTGATTCTTTAAGAAGGCCTTACCCACGGAAACATGGTGCTGTTACATTTTGCTAATTTGGCTCCAGCCGAGCTCTTTAGGGTGGCATTTAGGTTGCGCCTAAAGTCACAGCTTGTGAGATCCCTGCAGGTCTGTACAGTGGGCCCCACAGAGTCTTTGGCATGTTTGCTTCTCCTGAACTGGGCTTCTAGCCACAGCGTTGCATCATCCACGTGTGAACCAGGTGATTTCATTGAGGTCTCACTACATTAGTGGATGAGACAGGAGAGAGTATGTATCTGAGAACAAAAATTATTTTTTAGGTCTTGGATTGCTAGTAATAGTAAAATGAAATCAAGTAGTTCTGTAATTTTCAAAGTGCTTCATCATTTGATCTGTTGTGGTGATAACAAAGCAAGTGCTGGTGAATCTGTAAAATTCCTTCCATGTAACTTGTATGAGTGATGTTTTTCCCTGTTATAGTTTCAGATCTAATTCAGTTCAGTAGATATTAGACACTCCATTGTATGCTCGATCTTGCAGAATCCTTGAGCCTTCATTCGTTAATTTGTTCAAATTGAATACCAGTAGTTGATAGTCAGAGCCTATTCAGTGCCAAGTACTATGATATAGACATGATGAAAGCTGGGACACAGAATTGTTAAGGGAACTGATTCATATTTGCAAATAATTGAAAAAGCGGAAAATGGAGTTTTGAGAAGTTTGGAAAAATGCCGTCAGAGCACAGAGGAAAGAGGGTTTTCTTTTAGGAGGAGAAATTTGTATACCATGGAAAAAGAGCTAAGAGGACCCACCAGTGTCCTCTCAGCAGGGGGTCTCTAATACTGTTTTCTTTGCTGGCTGTGTTTTCTTTAGGTCATGACTGCTGTGAGACAGTGAAGGTGCTGCTTTGTGCTTCCAAAGAGGGCCTTCCCGTGTTTGTGGTGGCTGAAGAAGACTTCCATTTCGTCCAGGATGAAGCGTATGATGCAGCCCAATTCCTGGCAACCAGTGCTGGAAATCAGCAGGCTCTGAACTTCACCCGCTTTCTTGACCGGTCAGGACCCCCATCTGGGGATGTGAATTCCCTCGATGAGAAGGTGGCGCTAGCATTCAGACACCTGAAGCTGCCAGCAGAGTGGAATGTGTTGGGGACAGATCAGACTTTGCATGGTGAGAATGTATATGACCTACAAACATACTTTCAGTTTGGAATACTTCTGTTTTTTAATGGGGCTGCTTTTCTGTGCTCATTATATTCAAGTCTTCTACGGCCACTGAATAAATCTTATAATTACTGTAGCAAAATGGGCTTGATAGCACCTCTTCTAGTTCTTCAGTGGAGCTTTTAAACCTGTTTTTGTAGTGAAATGACCCGAGAGAGAGAGAACTCAAGTAGAGAGAGGCACATCACCTTCCTGTGGGTCTGGATTTCGGGCTTGATCTTGTTACTGAAGCCAGAAAAGGGTCCAGGGTATGTCCTGTTGCTTGCCACACAGAAAGCCAGTTAATGAGATGAGGATTGTCAAGGAAGAAAGGAATTTTAATGCAAAAGATGTCTGTCGGGAAAATGGGCAAAATAGTCTGAAATCCGTCTCCTTAACTGAGGCTTGGCAAGGGCTTTCATAGTGGGCTGTGGAATGCAGGTCAGGTTTTGCAGGGGTTGAACTCATAGGGTCTTCAGGTGGTCTGATTGAAGAATCAGCCGTTAGTGATGGGTGGTGAGTCCTGTGGAGAGACTGGTTAAGTCTGGTTGTTAGGCTTCACTGGTAAAGTCTGAGGGAACAAAAAATAACTTAGGGGAGGGGGTCATTTTGCGAGGCCAGTTACAATCTCTCAAGTGTAGGAAGTGACCCATCCTTCATGAGGAGAGTAGCAGAGTAACTTTCTGATGTTTAATTATCAAAGACAAGGTTTTCATTATTGTGTCCTGAACTTCTCTAGGGCTGCGGTCCCTAACCCCCATGCTCTGGCCACCTGTCTGTGGCCTGTTAGGCTGCACATCACCGCCTGAGCTCCTCACTCCACCCCCCACGTCCCCATTCCGTGGAAAAATTGTCTTCCATGAAACCAGCCCCTGGTGTCAGAAAGGTTGGAGACTGCTGCTCTAGGGCTTGGAGTTGGAGGAAGGAAAGATTGGGGAGTTGGGTGGAGGGAGCATGATGAGAGGATAAACTCTAAGAAACCCTACAGTTTTTAACCAGTTTGTTTCACTCTTACTGATTTTATCTTCTGGTCCTCCATATAAGAGTTCATTGAAGAAAGGATTCCACTTTTCAAAAACACTGATGTTGTAAGTATTTGCATATGTCCTCTTACTCAAACAAGGGTTTTCCCACATAATTCTTGTAGCAGATGACCTCTATTGTCATGATCACATAGATATTTTCAAATGGAACATAACATATACCTGAGGCCTAATAAATAACATCCTGTTTTCTTCCTGAGTTCAAATCCAATATAAAGATTTAGGAGTCCTGCAGCTAGAGATAAAATGTTTGCTTTATTACTAATGAAATCGAGATCGGAAGACTTCTGCCAGAGGGTCTGCTTGCACTTTTTGTGTCATCACTGAAAGAGCTGGGCAGTTGCAAGACTGCCCTTGAGAGTCCACCTAGCTTTTATTCCTGTATTATGTGCAGTGAGCAGACCAGAAGTCACCCTCTTTGCAGTTGAGCAGATCCTGAGGACAGTGCCCAGAGGGGATGTGCAGTTCCTGCTCCCTCAGATCCAGCAGATGAGTTTATTCCTCCTCCCGTGGAAGAATAGTGAAGAGGTATTTGTCAGCTTTGACTCTCTTAAATCCACTGGGTTTAAGAGTTAAGCCTGTGATGAGCCATCAGAATGGTGTCCCACACTATCAGGGGCATACTCTCAGATACTACCAGGGCGGTCCCGCGCAGGTAAAAATCTGAAAGAAAGGATGGACTGTAAAATTAAATCAAGGAAGAAAGTATTTGTCTTTGTCTTATTAATAGAATGTCCAAAAAAAGAAAACAAAAAGATTAATATAGTGTCCAAGAAACTTCTGGATTGCTGATATTTAGAGATCAGAATATTTGGATGTTATATAGAGCATGAGAACCTTTTTAGAAACCTAATGATGGGCCTTAATACCTCTACCTCCTGCCATTTCTGTTTTGATATGGGAATGATTATTCTGGTTGCCTTTGCAAATCAACATCAAGATAGAACCGTATTAGTTATTTGTGGGGCTTACAGTGTTTTTATGGTTTCATTTTGTCTTGTTTAAAGAAAGCCCAGGAGTTGCATAGTTTGTTTATGTTACCATGATTAAAAAGAACTGTTAGAAAAAGTAAAGGTCAGAAAGTTTAGGCATATCACTTCCCCTCTCTGGGCCTTAGTTCCTTCTCTTTAATAGGAAAGAACTGGCCAGCTTTAATATTTTTGTGTACTTTCCATGTACTCCTAAAGTTTCTGTTGTACAGTATTGCTCAAGCAGTGCTAACAAAGGCTAGACCAAATTTGAACACTTAAGGAAATATGAACTAAAACTACATTGAGATACTATTACACATTCATTAGAATGGATAAGATTAAAAATAACCAAGTGCTGGCAAGCATGGAGAAAACAACTCATACATTGCTTGTGGGAATGCAAAATGGTATAGCCACACTAGAAAAATTTGGCAGTTTCTTATAATGTTTAATATACACTTAACCATATGACCCAGTAATCCCACTTTTGGGTATTTATCCTAGATAAGTGAAAACTTCACCAAAAAGTCTGTGCACAAATATGCCTATAGTAGCATTATTCATAATCACCAAAAACTGGAAATAACCCAGATCTCCCTCACTGAGTGAATATATAAACAAACTGTGATATATCCATACAATGGAATACTACTCAGCAATAAAAAGGAACAAACATTGCCACATGCAACAACTTGGATGCATTATAAATGCATTGTGCTTGGTAAAAGAAGTCGGTTTCCATAGGTTTTATACCATGTATGATAGTCTGGAAAAGGCAAAATTATAGAAACATTCAATAGCTGCCAAGGACTAGGAGTAGGGGAAAGGTCTGACTGCAAAGGGCTATCATAAGGGAATTCTTTGGGGTGCTGGAGTTGTTTTGTATCTTGTTAGTGGTGGTGGTTATGCATGTCTTAAACTCATAGGACTGTACATCCCTAAGAAGTGAATTTTATTGTACATACATTTAAAATGATTTAAATCAAACATTAGGTTTAGACTTTGCAAGGTCTTGATAGAACTTTGAAGTCAAGAGCTAGGATCAGGAATTTGATTTTAAGTGCTCAATTCACATTCTGCAGTTTAAGTTGTTCTATTAATTGTAGATTAGAATCTAGGGACACTGGATATGGTAAGGGCATCAGTTAAGAATTTATTATGCTTACCGTGGAATGTGATAGGATGAAGGTAATGGAATAGTCTGTTCACATCAATGAGTTGCACATCAAGTACTTTTTTTTAAAGGTATTTAAAGGAAAAAGGTACAAAGCAAGCATGTCGCCTGGGATAATACAGGTAAATAGGGCACCATGTTATGTAACAGGACTACTTACAGTTGAAAGCTAGGCATTTACAGGTGGTTCTGTTAGGTAGGGACCAGGAGGAAAGGGAAACAGGTGCGGAGGCAAGGTGAGGGAGATTCCATAGAGATACTATTGCTGGCCAATTAGAGGAGGGTAAGAAGACCCCAAACTGAGGAGATGGCCCAACCACAGAAACAGACAACTTGGGACATGGGCCCAAAGTAGTTGGCAGTGACTTTAGGTGAACTATCTTCATTAACATAGTAAAAATCACACCCACCAGCGCCATGAGAGCTTAGAAATGTCATGGCAAGCCCTGGAAGTTATCCTATGAGGACAAATTAAGGGAGGGTCCTTAGTTCCAGTAAATCTCTACCCCTCATCCCCGAAAAATAGTAAAAATTCTTCCCACCATTTAGCATACCATAAGACATAGACATAAAAGTAGAAATAGGTTAAAAACCCAGGGACTTCTCCACTCAAGGAGATAGACATGTTCCCACTCCGGAACGTACTGTGCTTTAATAAATCTTGCTGTTGGGCTTGCTCATTCATCCATCCACTCGGTACCAATAACCTTCTCCAGTACTGGGAACCAAGAACCAGGGAACATGACGTGAACTCAAATCTGATGGTTCTAGCCTAATACTTGTACAAAAGAGTCATGTAAGATTTATGGCTAATCTTCCTGCTTTTTAATTGTTTCAGATGCAATGCTTTTTAACTTTTTTCAGGCCAGTGACTCCTTTGAAAATTGCTCAGATTTCTCCTCAGAAAAAAAATGTTCATGTTGTGCCTACCTGGAGACATTTACATAGAGTAAATTTCATAGTCTCCCTGAACTTCAGGCACAAACATGAAGTTAAGAACTCTTGGTTTAGATTTGCCGTCATCAGATGGAAAAAGCATAGACATTGGAGTCAGGCTGTTTATATCCTGGCTTCATTGCAAGGGTTTGTGCAAAATACTTAATCTCTCTATTACTCAATTTCCTCATCTGTGAAAGGGAGGAAAGTGTATTCTGATAATGTGTGCTAGCTTACAAGCTATTCCTTTGAATATACCTTGACCAGTATTCAGAAACTTTTTAGAGACAGTACACATTGGTGAGCTATAACAAGGAAAGAGAACATGTTCTAGTAGAGGATGAAGCAGGACAGCACTCAAAGGAAGGCTCTTCCAAGCAGAATGAGACTGTCCTCCTTTTTGCTTTTACTTTTTGCTGAAGCAGTCCTCACTTTAAACGTGAACAAGAGGGGGGGGTTTGTCCATTTGAGTTCTTCCAAGTGTTCTCTAATCCCTAGTTAGAGAAGCGTCTGCATTATACTTTTTTTTTTTTTTTTGCTACAGTTCTGCCTTAAATATAGGTGATAAGGATTCATCTGGGTGGAGGGTGAATGCTGGGGGGCGGGGGGCGAAGACATCTTTTTTCTCTGAGTTCTCCAAGTCTCACTTAGTTGTCTCAACTCCTCAGTGCCTTGGTGGTTAGTGAAAATGGTGAATTGGGATGGCTTTTCCTTGGGAGACCCTTGTGCAGTAGCAATCAGCATAACTCTTGGGTACCTTAGAGTGGGCCCATTGAAGACTTGCTCTGGAGAAAGCAGGGAGAAACGCTCTGGGGGAAATATTCATCCTTACCCAGTCATGGCA